CTATATATATATATATATATATATATATATATATATATATATATATATATAAAGATCAATAGATGGATCCAATATGAACACTGATACGTTCATGTCCGAATTCTTAAATGTTTCGTTTAAGCTTCTTAGTTGGTCTATTAAATGGGTTCGTCTTCCATCATATTAAACCAAGTTTCAACAAGACATTGATCATAAATATTGTAAAAAATTCGGTACCATTATTGTACTATGAGTATGAATGGAGTAAAGGAAGAGTGTGTGTGGACCCCATTCCCAAGCGTCTAACTTGACGTTTGACTTTCATTATAAATGTTTGATCTTTGTGTCTGCAGTTTACTTACGTGATAAATACGTTTATTTGACATCAATTGTAAATTATCACAATTTTATTCTAAAAAATTCATTAGAAGATAAAACGTTGAACATAAATCACTAATAAATATGACGATTATTTCATCCCTTTTTCTTAAAAAATGACCGAACAAACAAAAAGCTATAATCTGTAACAAATTATTAAAAATCGTTTATGTCATACGTAACGGAATATTTATGCTCAAAAATCCCGATTCAAATAGTCATTTATTTGGTACTGCCATTTCTTTAAAGGCACAAATAATATCCAAGAAAAGAGTACACATATTCTACGAGGCGTTGAAACCAGAAGATAAACAAAAGAGCTCCACAAGCGGCAAAGAAAACCCGAAGAGGAATTGTCATTTAAACTCGACTCAATCACAAGTGAGAAATTGCCATGCACCTTCCATCATCATTCACCACATCCTCCGATCTCCACATTTGGTCCATGTATGCTGCCGCCAACATTATCTGGTGCCAACACCGTCTCCACTATTACAAAAGGATACTTTTTTGACATTCTTATTAAAAATAAGATCACATCTTAATCGTTAAAAAGTTTTTGGCCTAATGGTATCGTAGCCTTTTGCCTTCTAAGATGTCAGGGGTTCAAACATCACCAAAAATAAAAAGGGTGTGTGAATTTATTTGTTGCATTTACCGTATATAAATATTATATGCTTCAAAAGAAAAGATCACATCTTAATATCAGAAGTTGAGAAATTAGTAGTTTTATTCATCTTTAAATACATGTTATAGATACTTGCTATGCCTCTTATCCTTGCTATGCATCTTATCGGGTAAAATTCTAGATACTTATCATGCTTTCCCAGAAGGTAAGTAACACCCGATAAGAGTTTACCTGATAAGCATTTGGTGAACAGCCGCCACTTTACTCCAAATAAAATATGTCAATTACTAAAATACAATTTCTTAGGGCTTTGAAAACAAAAACAATAGCTTGATGAATAAGACCAAAAGAGGTGATCAGACCTTGTAACCGGTCCAACCTCAGGACTCGTAACCGATGGTAACTGATTGGACTTTTAGTAACTCGGATCGGACCTCTTGTAACCGATCCTTACATAACCGGTACTGGACTTCAACCCCACTTCCCCAAGGGGTTCTCCAATTCCCCAAGGGGTTCTCCAATTCAGCCTCTCAATTGGTTTACAAACTCAAATTATACGATAAAGGTTGGCTCGTCCACGGTCCTACTTGACCACCGTCTTGATGCATTTGATTGCATAACTTAAGTTCGAAAACCAATCCAAACGACGGTGAAAAGGCGTGTATCGGACTCGAGTTCAAGGACCCATGCCCTGGACAAGCAGTTGACCACGTAATTTGTGACGCAATGTGTATGCATATATATACACGAACGTATTCACAAAATAAAGTTCAATGATTACAGATTTTCATTTGGAGACGGAGCGAAAACCTTTTATTCCATATACTGAAACATTGAAAACTATGCAACATACCAATGGTATTTAAACAAAAATCTAACTTATTATGTAGAGTTGATGAAAGGAGCCATGGTTATTTGCAGCATTATTACTTGCAGACCCCTATTGTAATTCTCCTACCGGTGCCTCGTTCAGCCATAGAAAATGAATGAAATCATACAACTTTGCCGTTACGCTAACCTGCAAAAACAAAAAGGAACAACGGAGGTTTGAGCCTGGGCTCCAAAGGTCAAAAGTGCTTGGAGGTCCCAGGTTCGAATAAGAATCCCCTTGTAGTCATGGAGGTTCAAATGCGATGACTCTAGGCTACCCAAGAAGCCGGTGGTCGTCCTGAGATTAGTCAGCTCGCATAGCGGGTTGAATATCCAGGTTAATAAAAAAAGGAACAAGGAATTCCGGTTATTTAGGAGAACAACCTTCTGCTAATTTTTTTTTAAATGTACGACGTTATGATAGATTTAAGAAACCCTCTGGCTAATAGAAATATGCATCTTCCTAACAAGCAATTCCCACCGTAGTAGTAGTTGAGGTCGTGAGGAATGTGGAATATCCCATGTGCCCAGGGGTTCGATAAAGCTCAAAAAATAAGCTAGCTTATAATTGTCAAACATCGCTTAAAACTTAAAAAGTCGTCCAAAATGCATATATTTTTACTCATTTCAACCCATAATCCAACCCGCTCATATTATCACCTATATGAATTCTGAATTAGGGATACCGTATGCAGCATACCTTGTAAGGGGTAGGATTTAGCCGTCTCATGTGATCAGGTCGCATTTGTTCCAGTTGGCTGATACAACGTTCCCTGTTCTGCTTAAGCGTTGGCAGTTCTTCTCTTTTTTCGTCTTCATATAAACACGCACAATTTGGGTTAAGTCGTGTTAGAATCAAGTGTATAACAGGGTGCATTTGGCACGTAGGCGGGGACTCGATGGTTGGGACTAAGGTAGGACGGAAGAAAGAGTTGTGGAAGGTTTTAGGGTTTTAATTTGATATGGGTAGTTTAGTGATTTACCGATCTTGTCCCATCTCTCAGATTTCCGTTCCACTTATCTTGGTCATTTTTGTCCCACTTGGTCATGTCCCGCATACCAAACGCATTACCATATATCCGAAAAATAAGGGCTCCGAACCTGTATTTCCGGGCCAATAACACTTCATAAGCTCCTCAACACGCTGTGGCACCACATAAGCTCTCTTGGATTCATTAAATGGGTGGCGACATAAAATTCTTTCGCCTACCTGTCGTCAAGTATCAAACGGAGACAAATCAACGATAGCTATTTACAAAGTCAAATTGTACATAAATCACAGCAGAACATCAACAGGAAAGTTGCAACATGTGACATTTTGGGTTGTCCCATGTAGGGGTGAACATGGTATGATAGCATGTTTTCCCTATCCTATGTACCAACCAACTTATAATTGGTACGAGAACTTGCTAGTTGCTACCAGTACCAACCAACTTTACCCGTGTACCAACTTAATTAATACCAAGTTTTCTCAGTTGGTACGTGTTGGTAATGGTACTGACATACTGGACCAATATCGCAAAGTTGTAAGTTGAATACGTTAAAACACGGAAAAAGACTACCAATGCCCAAACGAAATCCAAAGTTACAATACTTCAAAAGTTGATACAAAGTTTCAAATTAGAATTAGAAAAGGGAAAAACCCAAGAGGTGGCATAATAAAAGTTTAGGGCCCAACGCCATAATTAATTAAATATTAATTAATAGATAATAATTAATTCATTAAATATATAAAAGTTGGTACGGTATGGTGGTACCATGGTATTTGATTTATTGTGCTATGTAACAACCGACTTTGAATCCCGTACCAACCAGAAAATGTCGTTACCAATTTAACCGGTACAACTGGTATTGATGTTGGTTGGTTTGGTTTGATACGATTTTGAGACCCCTAGTCCCATGAACCCTTTTGGGGAACTTCTAATTTAAGATTAGCTATCTTCGGTTTTAAACCAAACAAACCTAGTATGTCTCATCTGAATATGGGGTCAAGGTAAGGAAGATGGAAGCATCACCTAGCATCTACCTCAAAGAGTGGTAGAGTGGTTGTTTTCATGAAGGCTATTCTAGGTTGTAGCCACACATAATTTATTGCGAACAAGGAAGCAATTTACCTTTGGAGGTCGTTCATTTTCACCTGACATTATGTCCAAAAGGGGGTAACCTTCCTTGCCGTATAATCTGAAAGATCGTTTTTTACAAGGAATAGAGACCTACCACCAAAATATACATTTGTTAATGAAGATTCAGAATACAAACAGCAACCGCAAGCAAATTTCAAACCTTTGAGACATCTTCTGACAGCTTAATACGCGGCTGGTTATTTATCTCAACAAGCTTGAAAACACAACCTAGAGCAGCTTGAGCATAACAAGTGACCAAATTGGTCCCGATTCCAAAGGCATCTACCTCATGACCCTGAGCACGAAAAGTAATCGATTGTAAACATGGAATGCTGCCAATTATGATCACAAAAGGCAGTAAATATGAGTAAAACTATGGATGCACCAAAAACGAGCATAGGATTTGCTATAAATGTGATGGTGGCTGTATATTTTTTCAATAATTACGTTTCTTGTGGATGATTGAAATTTTCTAATGTTGAATCTTCTGCAACAGTTGCATTGACCAGCTAGATGTCAAAGTCGGGCATCTTCTATCCAACAATATAGTTGGTTAACATTGGACTTCTTTGAGGCAAAAGTTACGCAGGCAAGTGGAATAGTATAGCAAAAAGGATTCTTTGTCCAGTAGGAGGGAATAATCGAGTTTGGACATTGTTAAGATCAACTCACACCAGAAGAAGTTAGGAATTAGATTAATTGATAGAGTCTCACAATGTTGCATCATATAAAGTAAACTAAAAAAAGCTCACTCTAGAAATGTAGTAGCACTTTTAGAGATTTGTGGAGGAAATATGCTGTCGCGTGACATCATGAGCAGACTCGTAAGATTTGTCCCTACCCCCTTCATGAAGGGCTGCAGTTTTTTCAGTATATAGATAGACAGAAGTATCGTGTGAGAATAAGAGTAAAGCTGACCCTTGATCACTTTTAATCTCATCCCTACCCTATGAAGTGCGCTTATCACAAGCATTGATCTGGTGCATCTTGGTGCACCGCGTTAGTGTTGATCTTCAATTAGGATTGATCCAAGGGAGGAGATCCCTTCTTACCATAATTTCCATTCTTGCAAGAAGCCAACCCTCATTTCAGGGAAGGTTCCGCAAGGAACCTCATTTCATTGAGAACCGGGAAATCATCAAGAGCGTGCCATGTGTCCATGTTCATGATGAATGTCGTAACATTCATCATAAATGTTTGTATTCGTGATGAACGTAGTAAAAAATTCATGTCCATTCCATATTCACGATGAATATTAACACGTGGCACGCAGTTGGTGGTTCCTTGGATCTCAATGAAAATGAGGTTCCTAACGCAGCCTCCCTCTGTGTGTGTGTGTATAAATCGAGTGTCCTAAGTTTCCGTCTCTTTAAATAAACTAGAAGTAAAGTTTCTCGATTGATTGAGTGCTAAATCTTTATTTGGGTCCAAATTCTCATCAAGTAAAATCTTGATCAACAAGAAGTATACAATACGGTAACAGTGATATCAGTTTCAAGAATCTACAAATATTTACTCCTTGATGATACTTACCTGTTTGTTCAAAGCATCTAAGGTTTCCTCATTAAGGTCATTGCTAGCAGTGATACCAGTCTTTCCAAAATCAGGAACCCCAAATTCCTTTTCAACAGTCTGAAAGAACTTCCTCGTTTCACATGACAGATAAGCAAGGTCACCAGAGTCTAATCTAATGCCCCTTGCTTTGTACCTGCAGAAAACATAAACAAAAGCCTACATGTGAATTTACAAAAAAACACAAATAGGCTAAAGTATAAAACTGTGATCCCATATCATAAGGTAGAACCAGAAAAATATAAACTCAGTGCGAGTTTTTTCTCCCAATCACTTGGGTCCACTCATACATCAGTTTCTTGATTGAATCCAGTTTATCGCAGCATGTATGCCAAGGTGCACCAAAAATTCACATCGACAAGATAAGTTGCAAACAAACGCTAGTTACATACTAAGAAAATCACCAGGTAACATCATTGACTTAATAGGGCTAAAACCAGATAGGGGACATATCACTTTAACTTCACCATTATAACTTTTAGTTGTTTGTATATGCCAGGAAGCAAAACTAGTCATCAGTTATCACTATATGTAACTTCACACTTTAGCCTTTTTAGTGTATACATGTTGAATAATAAAACTTTCCATGTACTTTGAAACTACTGGTGATAAAGATGGTATTCATCAACTTCTATTTAACACTTGGCTGGTCAAAGTGACCATTTATTCTGGTATGGACAATAGATATGATTGTCATTTCTCACAGAAGGATTTCGGAAATAACTGTGGAATTGCATAATTGATTCTCTAACCAAGCAAAAAATGAATGCATATACAATTATATGCAACTGTGTAAAAGCAAGCACAACTATGCTTAAATGTGCATTATAATATTGTTTCAAATTTACGGACATACCCCATATCATTTAGTGCTAGAGCAACAGCGCAGAAGTTAGGAATACCGCTCCTCATGACCTGGAAGAAATGACACAACACCATTGTGTTAATTAATTTGGTAATAATCAACCCCAGTTAATGAATATCGTGTATAACAGCTACAGGGAACAAAAGAAACACGCCATATTGTAATACATTAATAGTCCTACATGAGGACATGCACGATTGTTAAGAGCAGGAAGACAAAATTGATGTTTGTATAAATTACATATCTTTTAGGTGAGTTCATTAAATGAAAACGAGATGTGGTACAAAAAAAATATATTGAGAAGAAATGGAGTTCAAAGTGAGCACACATATGACTAAGCAAATAAATAGCAATGAGTGCATATTTAAACAACATATAGAACAATCCAAGAAACTTCCGACTTACATCATATGTGTCTACAAGAGCTAGAAAGTTGTCAGGAAATGCCAGGGCGTACGAAATGAAAGCAGCTAGCTCACTCTGGTTAGTCTCACCAAAAACACCCTTCAATATACTTAGCCTCTGAAACATGTAAAAACGCAGAGTAATAGAAATATAAGATATATGCAACGGAAAACTCTTACATGGAAAAAAGCACAGAAAGTATTGAATCAGGCATAAGCAAATGCTTCCCTAGAACTGAGAGACGATTAGTAAAAGGAAAAAAACTCCAATTTTGGAGGGTAAGCAACTAAAAGAAAATGGTAATGTTTATGTGCATTTGGATTATCCAAATCATATATTAGATATTTTCTTTCTTTATGATTAGTTCCTGCATGTGCTATACAACGTTGAATTCATGACTGAAACAAATACTACAACTGCAAAAGCCATGAGAGTATGGTCGCACCTTTAGTTTGCTTAACCATGTATGCACAACACTAACAAAATCCTGGCACACGCTAGAGCCATCATGACTTCGGAGAGACTTCTGTATAATCTCATCAGTTCCCTACAAATCGACAGATTGATTAAAGTAACTTCAAAATCTTCCAAAAACTTGATAAATAATACAGGCACAAACAAGCCCAGCAAGTCAAAACTACACTAGCTACTCAAGAACTCAAGATATAGGACCTTTATCATATAAAACCTAGAACATTAGCAAGTCACTATATTACAGGTATTCAGGTTAAGTAATAAGTCAAAACAAGGGACTGTTTGCATACATATGTAGAGAATGAAAACTAGAACAACAGTCTTCCATACAACTAGACAAGCGCAAAGTTTTTAACATGCGAACTTGACAACAAATGTATTGATTTTTTAAATGTTCTCCTTACATATCTTGATGTTCCTTAAAGAACTAAACCTCCTTTTGCATAATATGGGCATGATCCTAACCACAGTACATGTGTCACTAAACAATCAACTGAGATAAAATGGTAAAAAGGAAATAGTTTTCAACTTGTAGTCTTCTAAGCTAGCTTTCTAAAGATCTTACTTAACGAATGAAGTAAATTCAAGCGGGGATTTTAGGTTTATCTAGATTTTAACAAAGGCATGATTTGGAATTTTCCACAGATCAATAAAAAAACAAGATTACTCACAAGAAAATATTGAGCACAGTATGTTCTTTAAAAGAAGACCAAATTGGAAGATTGTTGTACTAATTGTGTATGTTGATGACATCATTTGACCAGAATGACACTCAGAAAATGAATAGACCGAAGAAAAAGCTGCCTAGGAATTTGAAGTTGAAGATTTGGGGGTTCTAAAATATTTCCTCGGCATGGAGATAGCTAGATCAAAGAAAGGAGTTATTGTTGACCCACAGAAGTATATCATCAATTTGCTGAAGAATTCAAGATTGTTAGGTTGTAATTTGTAAACCGATCGATACACCTGTTAATCCAAATACCAAGCTTTGGAGCAACAATTCAGGAGATGTGGTTGACGCTCACACACATCAGAGGTTAGTAGGAAAGTTGATTGACTTGTCATACACAAGGTCTATTATCTCTAGGAATCTAGTTTTCTATCTATTAGGCTGTAAACCCCTATATAATTAGGTTGTACATGTACTTTTGAATCAATGAAGAAGATTATTCATTGAAAAGTACAAATACTTTAAACCATAACTGCTAAACAAGTTCAAGAAGATGGCACATGCCAAAAACCGTTACATTGATAACATTGGACTTATTAATCAATGTAACGGGTTTTAAGCCCTGAAACAGATTATAATTCATCACGGCATTCAAAACAACTTCACTGAACGAAACAAAGTGGTTATATATTGCACCAACCATGAATGAGCTAACAAAAGCATGGGAATGTGTTCCCCGGAGCGGTATTCCAAATAATCTTCCAGCTGCACAATTGCTGTCAACACACAGCAAATAAAAAGATATAAGCTTCCTTGGTATAGGAATTTTTTTTGACCATGCTATTGTTGAGAGAGATGAAAAATATAAAACCCATGGCTGTTCCAACCGTGCATAAGTTATCCCTTCTCATAATCTAGTTCGTCCATAATGGTGCTAGATTTAGTGACACCCATGACATATCTAGCAACGGATTGGTCCTACAAGGGTTCGATGATAAAAGTTTCACTTCCTAGTTTGCAATGTGCAACTGCAAGCATGTGCAAGTAGTGAGCGGTCATAAGACTGTAAGGGTACCTAGAACCTAGAACATTGGTTTTTGGAATAATACTCGCTATCAATTCATAATTCCAAAATTCTCTTCATGCATTTCCACTGTGTAACATATGCTGTGTAGGTGTGTACCTGTGTAAGGGTGGACCCTGGTGCTGTGGTGTGTCAGGGTAGAGGAGAAAAGTTTCTGGATGCAATTATTCTCTTACATTCGGGAAAGACGCTGTCCCTTCCAATTATAAGGTATTTATAAAAAAGGCACACACACATAAAGATAATGCACATGAGAAGTGAGAAGTGAGAACAGAGCGATGAGCAATTTCTCATCATCTGGGAGCGGTGTTCCTCCATTTAGCTGTAATGTCGTGAACTTGTGTAATGCAACATGATTTTTCAGAGGTAGAACACCAATGATGCTTAATTATATTTTCCAGAAGGCAAGTTGAGGTAAAAATTGGGAATTTGGTCAGCTATGGGCATATCTTCCAGGGATTCCATGTGAACTTCTCTTGATGGAAACATAAACAACCTATGGAAGCGAATTAGTAATTCGGCTAGAAATTGTCTGAAATTTCTCGTATTTTAACTGCTTAACAAAACTGTTACACACCAAAGTAGAGGGTCTTTAGTATTACACCTGTTTTGGAAAGGGCAATATGGTAACTTCATGCATAGCAAGTTGTGGATGGGAGGTTAGAGATAGTTGTTAGTATAAATAGGGGGGTCTAGGTGGTGTAGGAGGGCATTTTGTTTTGTACACACCAAATTGAGCGGGAACGCTTTAGGGAGAGATCTCAGGCCTCTCGAAAGCCTGAGAAATACTGTAAAGCATTCAACGAATACATATAGCCAACTATTTCGATCTCAGTGTATAACAGAGACACAGAGCATAAAAATATTTCATGCATCACAATGCTTATGAGATCTGCCCTTTCATTCTCTTTCTTGTGTTTGTGAAATACGCCATAAGAGTAAGAATAATATTTGTGGATTTTGTGAAATAGCCCATGACAGATACATGTGTGTAACAATATATACGCACACGCATACATATAGCTATGTATTATATAGAGAAGGGGATGCAAGTGATCTATAGGCCTATAGAAAAGTGATGGCAACTTCAAAACCCTTTAACAGAACAGGCCAAAAATAGCATTTATTAAAATAAGCAGACATGCCGACTTTCATATCTATGATCCCTTCATCTGAGTACTAATCTTTCATGTAACTTCTATGAACATTGAACAGCGAATCAATTTATAATAAAATAATGGGCCATATTATAAATTAATTGAAAACACAAAAATACTTCTATCTACAGTTTTAGTGTCTTCACTTGAATCTGTTGGTTACAACATAGTTCTGCCAGTATTGCAAGGGCTCTGGCAAAGTTTGTGCATGTTTTTATCTGGAGTTGGTATGATGACTCTTTATAAGCATGCTCACTAGCATGCGAGATATATTCTACTGTTCCCTCTATCAGGAATGTCAATTAGATATTAAACTGGAAAAATGCAAACAAATTTTTAAACAGGGACCCACACTAAGGTAGTGTTAGAACTCAATCAATGATCTACCATCATTTAAGGTGCACTATATGTGGTCAACAAGATCACCTTGTTGCATCAAATCCTCCCATGTAGCAATACTTTGATGCCCCTATACCACCATCCGGGCCCTACAAGAAAAAGAGACACAGTAAGTAAATAACACACTGAATGCATTAATTGATATTGAGGAAAACAGACATGTTACAACCTGTGCCCGTCGTAGCCCAAACTCAAGAAGTACTTTGGATTTTCCAGCAACAAAACGATGCCTTGCAGCATTTGTAGTGACTAGTGATGCATAATTTATAAGATTCACATAAGGAGTTTCCAACAATTGAACCACCTGTAAGAAACAATATAGGGATGCATTATAGGCCTTATGAGGATAACAAGACACGTAGCCCTGAGATTTAAGAGCTTTCTTTTTAAAAATGTTTCAAAAAATATCTTGTAGAATGAACCAGTTCATATGACTCACAGCCACTGGGCCTTCAACCCTCATCAAGGGAACTTTAGGAAAGACGACAGATCCCTCAGTAATAGCATATACTTCCACATCAGAACAATCAATTCCTTCAAGATAATCAAAGAAGCCATCCTAACCTCGACAGAAGAAAATTGTTAGGAACATTTAAAAGTGGTAATGCATAGAGTAAAAAGGTATGGATATAGTCGTTGCATTCTATGAAAGCAGGTTCTAGATACAGTAAATTAATCATAAATCATTTTGGATGATCAGGTAGAAGATTAATGTATGAAATGGACTGCAAATGGATTTCTGGTTCACTACATATTAATATACTCGTTGGCGTAAACCAAAAATAAACAAATTTGCAATGGTTTGCTGACAAACACACATCATTTCTTTATGAAATATCTTAACACATGCCATGGTCAGCAGAACGCTCCCCTACCGATGTATTTTTACATCCCACAGCTTTGGGGAGGACATTCCACATAGACAAAAAGCAAGAAGTATTCTGTTAATAGCTCAAGCAATTGGAATATGTTATGATATGGTGCACTTTGCAGTGATATCAATGAACAATGGTCCTCTTTTTGATTAAACATAAACAAGGATCCTTACAAAACTGTATTTCCTTGGATTCACTTGCAGTTGCTGGAAAATTAGATGATCAATCATACCAACATATGCAACTAGTTTCAGAGACTAAACAATTCAGGTAACACCTAGAAATCTTCTGTGGACACCAATACTTCAAACTTCATTATGTTTCTATTAAGAATCAAGTATTAAACTACTCTTGATGCATCTGACTTGATGCTTACCTCACATGTTGGAGATAAACTTTCTCGAACAAAAGCAATCTCTTCCTTTGAAAATTTAAAATTAGCAATGAACCTTATGCACTCTTCGAGACCAGCAAAAACAGTATATTCACCACCAAACGGGTTCCGTCGAAAATATAAGTCAAACCTGAAAAATAAGCCAAAGATTACAAGATAACCTATCAAGGTTAAGACAACCATACGGCCCCATGGTGTTGACTGAATTACTGTTAAAAACAGAGGGGTTCTACATTGATTCAAACATCAAAATCCAATCWTAATAGTAAATGGAACATTAATCAAGCCCAAGTAATCGTACAAGTACCATTACAATTAAACAAAAAGTTTTGGTCTTATAGGTAAATTGAAATCAATAAATCATGTATCATATCTTCTTTACATTACCATTATAAAGCGTGAATAACACTAACGTTTTTTAATCGGAGAGCAAAGTACTTCGTTGAGCTCTCCAAAAAACAAGATTCACTGATTCCCATTTACTTGAATCTGATTAAGGTGCCTCTTTGTATTCCTTTATTCATTCATTTTATTTGGCCTTAAGAAATTGTAACATGGATATCTTCAGAGGCAGAAAACTACATTAGTTATTACATCTCACCATTGAAATAAAAGGTTGATGCTAATACAATGTCCTAACCTATGGATCAATTGGCACCACATTTCATTTAGTGCATGGAGCATAATTGAAGGGTGCAAAGATTTAACCATTAGTGTGATATCAGGATACAAACCCAAGGGTGATAATCACACATATCGATTTTAGGCTTGTAATTTATATCTCCTTGCCCTCTTATGCTGGGCTTATAATTTATAAGCAGGACACCAATTTTGAAACAAAGGCACCATATAATTAATCAAATTGTTGACTCATTCATTCTCTATGTATATCTTCTCTATATACCTTAAGCAAAGAAGTAATGTTCAATAATATCTATTCTTACAGTAAAAAGCAAAACTTTGTTGGCCAAAGTAGCAAATAGATTTCATGGTGATGGTAGACCTATTGAACTGATTTACAAATAGCATTCATGAAAATTCCAACTTTAATGCTAAAGTTCCCAAATCATTTTCAAAGCTGCATCCCCTAAATCAACTGCAACCAATCTAATGAGTTAAGACACTTGAAATTTGGAAATTATAACATTTTCATCCGTTTATCATATGGCTATAAACGCTAGCCCGAGTAGTGACACCAAAGGAATCAATCAATTCCATCTAACAACAATCACCACATAAACAAATCAACATCAAAGGAAAATCAAAACAATTGAATAAAAAAACAGCGATTGAGAAACTAACACAGCACGTTCGTTATGCTTTCCAGCTTTCCAGTACGCATAAGCCATGGTGAACTGATAGAGATCCGTGAGAAGCGGCGTAACCATTGGATTGGTGGGACCATCGATTGCTGCCGGACGACGGTTATCTTCATCATCCTTAAGATCACCGTTAACTTTAGGTTTCACATCCATTATATGTGTGTTGTGTAACCAATCAAAGACGCCACAAATTCTATATGCTTCGTAGTTTTCGTCCCCTTATCTTCACATATATCAACAAACACGTCTGTTTCAGATAGAAAAGGAGCCGATGGAATCCAAGAAGTGGAGATTGAAAGAGACAAAAAGGACGGTCGTTGTGGTTGTGGTGGTGGTGGTGGTGGTGCCGTCGCCGAAGTGGGGTTGTGCTATGATTCTCTTGAGTGAGTCGTTGATTTTTGTCCTGTTGAAATCAACTCTTTTCCATTCTTTGTTTGTTTTGTTTAGATACTCTTTCCATGGACCAGTAGTCTTTGCAGTTCACTAAAATAATATCACTTTTATTTTCACTTTTATTTAATATAATTGTAAAATTTTCTTTTAAATTGATAATAAAAAAAAAAAAAAAAGTGTTAGTTCGAAAAACTGTTGAACTACTCAAACGGGTCGAATTAACTTAGATCGGATCGTTTTTTGTGGTTTGAGCGGTTAATGGTCTGGTTTGATTTGAAAATTTTCCAAATCAGACGATCTGGCATGATCTATGGTTTAAACGTTTTTTTAGTGGTTTGGACTGAACTAGGCATGGTAACGGGACGGAGACCCGCCCCCGGTTTGAAGTAACATCCCCCGGCCCCAATCCCCGACGGGTACGGAGATTAACATCCCGTCCCCGATCAAACATATGTCTTATCCCCGATCAATCCCTATAAATAATATCCTTTAATTTGATTCTAACGGGGATCCCTGGCCTCGGGACCCGTTTTAGCGAGGAATCCTCGTCCCCTTTCGGGTCAGATGAACCGGGTTTCCCATCGAGTCGGGACAAATCACCATCCTTAGACTGAACTAATTGTTATTAATTTTTCAGTTTTCGTTTTAGGTTCAAATTTGGTGGTCTGATTAAAAAGGCTCCATCCAAGACATTTATTCGTTTCAGTCATGTTTGTTTTAATTTTAGAGATAGATGGTTATTTTATAATTTGTTTTGACCATGGTTTTTCTGACAAACGCCGACGTTAACTTCGTAGAATTAAAGGTCATTTTAGTAATTTTGTCTATTCTTTTGTTTTTTCCTATAAAAAAATAAAGATTTATTTTACGTATTAAAGTAGTTTTTATTTCATTTACTAATTTAATTTAATTAGATAATTTATGGATTGTTGTGTCACTAGAATCTCCCCCACTATTATGAGGGAGTACTTCCCCTATTAAACCTATTGATATTAAAACATCATTTAATGATAAAGTTAGATAGTCGTTCGATGTATTTTTTATTTGAAGAAACATTTATTTCGTATTCACTTCATGTGTTCAATAGCTATTCGATGTCTACTCGATGCACTTTTAATTACAAAAAACATGTATGATCGATGTGTTTCATGAGCTCGATAACTGATCAATTTACTTTAAATTAAAAAAAAAAGTGAATTACATTGATGGTCCTGATGATTTGCTCAAGTTTTCGATTTGATTCATAAAACAAACTATCTACACTGACGGTTTCACATTTTTCAATTTTATAACACTTCAAGGCCCCTGAACTTAACATCGTCAATTAGCAACTGTTAAGAGAGATAAATTGGTTTTTGGGCAAAGTATAAGGACTAGAAGTGTAATTCACTCTAAAATTAATTGTAATTCACATATTTTGTTTTTTATTAAAAATATTTTAAATATGATTAAAAAAAATATTTTTATTATTATATCAATTTAAGTGTTGTAGCTTATTTACAGTTATTTGATAATTCAATTTAATAATATCTGATAATATTTTAACTTTTAGTATATAATTATTTTTTCATAACCAAAAAATAATCTATTCTGATGAATAACTCTCTCTCTCTCTCTCTCTCTATATATATATATAGAAGAGTACTTGTGCAATTCAATGAGATATATCTTGATTTTAATATTTTTTTTTTATCTCAGTCAATGTTATAATATGGTCTTATGTGATTTTGAAAAAACGATTATGCTTTTATTTTTGAATAAAATATAAACTTGAAGTATCATAAACATTTGACAAAAATACATCGATATTAACATCAAATTAATTATTTAAAATTCTTATTTTTTTTAATTCAATTTTTTATTATAATTTAATTTAGGTTCAATAACGAAGTAATTTATATTTGGTTTAATAATATGTTTTCTTATAATGATAATAATTAATTATTTTGTTAGAACTCGATAATTATCTTAATTATATTTTTGATCTTTTTATTTTTAAAATGAGATGTTTATCCGCAGTTAGTTACACGAATTCAAACATGGAGCTTTAATAAGTTGTGCTTATGCATAATTTACTTGTAATCTTGAATTTTAAGTAATATGCATCAATATACAATACTTCATGCATAAAAAATGGTTTTTAAGCATTTTTGTCAAATGCTTTATAATGTAGTATAGATATATACACACATACACACACACATATAAAAGCAAAACCAAGGTATTACTTACGTGACATCCTCACAGTCCAGTATTTAAAATCCTTGCTTTCTCAATTTTTTGAGATTTTTAATTTTTTTTCACTAGATACATTACACCTTCTAACTATTGTCCTACTCGATTTGGAAGTCGATCTTTGTTGCCCTACCCACATATGACCTTCCAGGGACGATGCTTTAGGTTTTCGGTGACTGCAGCGGTTGTGGATAAATATCTAGAATAGAAATCAAGACCCTGGTGAAATCTCATTAGCCCAGAATCTCACTAATCTCATCATGAATCGCTTATGGAACTGTGTGTTCGATTATGAGCAAGTTATGTTGGTCATTCTGTATTAGGGTGACCACCGACTTGACCATGGCAGTGACCACCGTTCAACACCCTTGTGCGTAAGGGCCCAGCCGGCCAAATTTTTTTTTCCTTTTTTGCTCCTTCCCAAAACAAAATTGTATTCAATTTTGTTTTTTTTTTTCTTCCTCAACCCCACTATGTAAACAATTCAAATTTTATATTACCAACACGAAACCAACCCTTTAATCTCTATTTTCTTAATACAATCTCCATTACCGATATTTAATCGTCTACATCATGGTAGAGATGGCCAAAAATCGGTCCCGGGCCGGGCCTTAACCGGTTACGGCCGGTCCTAATCGCGACAAAAACTGCCCATAACCGGTCCCTCTATAACCGGTCCCGGTCCCAATGAAAAACTCTATAACCGGTCAAGCTTTCCCATAACCGGTTAAGCCGGCCGGTCCCGGTTCCGGTCCCGTAACCGGTTACGGCCGGTCCTTTGAAAAAAAAATATTTTTTTATTATTATTTTTTTATTAATAAATTTATAATATGTTATTAATATCTTTGAAATATGTTATTTTTAATATGTTTTATTATAAACTAGAAGCGTACTCGCGCAATGCAGCGAGATACATCATGATTTTAATATTTCATTTTMYTHTKTATCTYAGTCGATATTATAATATGGCTTTATGTGATTTTGAGAAAGCGATAATGTTTTTATTTTTGAATAAAATATATGTTTGAAGATATCATAAAAATTTGACAA